CTTACTGCTGTTGGCTCGCCCGAAAGGGGCTGTCTCTGTCAGGGAAACCATCTGGGTGCTGGGGCACTGTGAGCTTGTTCAACAGCCCCACCCAGAGCTGGGTAAACCACTCCCATGCATTGTTGTGCATGGCTGCTCCCAGATGCCCCACCCCAGAGGTGACTGCATCTAAGGAGTATGTTACTGCTCGTTGGAAAATGTCTGCTCATTTTTTTTGTGCAGATGAATTTGAGTTTCCAGATATTTGTAAAGCCAAAATAGTTTGCTCGGGCAATGCCACTGCGGAGACTCATGGGAATTGTAGTTTGGCTCAGCAGGCTCCCTGTTCTCCCCATAAGTCAGTTCTCTGATTGGACTGCATCTCCCAGGATGCACCACAGAAGTCCCTGACACTGCAGCATCATGGGGCTTGTGGTTTGGGTGCCTGGCTTCAGGCTGAGCTGCCGCGGTGGCTCATGGGAGTTGTAGTTTCATGCTGGCTCGTGGCTCACCCCACCTGGTCCTGCCTGCACAGATGGCCATCACCTTCCACAACGACAGAGTCCTGGACAGAGCCCGCGCCGACCACACTGTGATCCTGCTTGAGAAGGTGAGTCGGGGGCAGAGGGGGCTTGCCCCGGCCGGGGGAACTCGCGGGAACTTTCCCGGCCAGCCCAGTGGGTTTTGGGGCAGGAGATGGGAGCTGGAGTCTCCGATAAAGTCCTGCACCGGGAGCTGCTGGGGGGCTGGGTTTGCCCCCAGGTGCCCCATGTGGCCAGCTGTGGACGTGGCGGCATCATGGCTCGGGGGGTTCATGGGCTAGAGCAGGCGTGGCCCCCCCAGCCCCGCTCTGCGCCGTGCGCCCGGCACGGGAGGTCCCAATCTCGGTCCGGCGGGGCCTTCTTGCCCCTCGTGACACTCTGGGCCGTCTCCTCTCCGCCGGCGGCAGGACCACGACTCCCGGAACATGTTCAAGTGCCTGAAAGTGAGGCCCAGCAAGATGGCGGAGGAGCTGACGGAGCAGCGCAAGCAGTTGCTGCGGCGAAGCCGGACGGACATGCGGGACCCGGCGCCGGACAAGGAGGCCCTGCTGGAGGGGCTGGAGCAGGAGCTGCGGAGCGAGGACGAGACCTTCCTGGAGACCTACAGGAAGCGCTTTGGAAAATTCGCCATTTTGGCGGGTGACAGTGCGGGGTGTCTGGCCCTGGCACCGTTGGGCGGAGCTGCCGGCGCTGGGATGGCTGCTGAAGCTGGGGAGTGTCTGGGATATGGGCAGTGCCCTTCCCTATCCCTCCCCCGCGGCAGGCCCCGCCCTCAGCCGGGG